CTGGCAGACGAGGATGGATTTGCTGTTCGGATGACCATCGATGTGACATTGCGGAAGATACCGACGCTCATGAATGTATAGGATTCCAGACGGAAGGCGCTGGGGGATACGTGTTGTGCGACACGTGCACGGACGGGGGAGAGCACGACATTGGCACGCTGTGGGAAGTGCAAGAAGGTTCGTGCTGCGTGCCGGGGCTACGTGCTTGACAGGCTTTAGACTTGCGAAAGCATAAGAAGACCTGCAAGAAACTTTAGGGTACGCTGCCATCTACTCTGATTACTTTCTGTCAGCTAATCGAGCGTTCTATGTTGTTTAGACACACAGAAGTTCGATAATGTAGATCATCCAAATAATTGTCGTATTATTGTAAATCCGTGAGTGTGGAATATGGGGAGCTGAGTGTTTGACTAACAACTTGCTGGGTGATCAGGTACTTTTCTAATATATCACAGCATATTGATCTATTATCGTCTCGGAATTACCCGGCCCATGGAACATCTACAGTCTGCGTCGGTTTTGTTAAGGCTTGGTGCAGTCTTATGACCATCCATGCAGCATTCGACTCTTCGGCCGCCACAAAACTTCAAAGTAAAGGTATTTCTCATTATTATAGATGACTTGCCCACCAAAAGCTGGAGTTTGGGACTAAGACTTGTCTGGCCCTCGACCGATGCTCGTGTATAATGACCCAGTTCAAGGTGGCAGATATGACTTCTAGCACCAAGATTACTACCAGCTATCCATCATCAGAACTTCAATGAGTTCTGTGAACTTGCAAATTCATCATGTGACGTCGTTACCCAGGCGAGCTTTTATTGAGTACTGTGGTCCGGTACGCCACATTGTCCGATGGCCTTCGCTACCTTGTTTTCATGTAAAGTGACGTTATTTACTTCTCTTGACTGCACAAACCTCGGACTGACTGAAAAACTCAGAAATGCTCCTTGCTTCGTTTCGGTGTTTTTTTTACCGAAGGATGTATCACTCTAGTGACATTTGATGCCCTCCGCGAAATGTATTGGTTTCAAACTTTGTTGTATAAAGATTCCGTCGCCTCAGGGCTTTCAGTCGTCCTGTCCTTCAACTCGAAATTGCGATGCCAGGAAACACACGCAGGGTACTCCTTATCCTAGATGCTCAGACCGCCGCGCTCTCTCCCCCACCCACGGGTATCCCTTCCTCGGAAACAGTCCGCAAAAACATTGCAGAGATTTTAGAAACTGCGCGGTCTGCGAATCCGCCACCAATGATAATCCACATCCGAACTGCGGGTGACGTAGGAGAGCCTGATGAGCCAAACGCACCGGGATGGGAACTCGTCAACCCCCCGCTGCCCAACGAGCCAGTGATCGATAAAAAGAAGAATAATGCATTTGCCGGGACAATTCTTGGGGACCTTATAGTTCCTGATGCAGAGATCGTCGTGATTGGACTGCAGTCGGATTTCTCTCTCAGAGCTAGTGCGTCAACTCCCGTTTTTTCTTACTTCTGCGGACCCTGATTTCTATGTAGCTTGCAGTGCCGCGTTAGACCGGGGTAACGAGGTGTTGATGATTCGCGGCGCCCACGGGACGTATGATCGTCTAGAAGTGCTTTTTGGAGAGGGGACCACAGCAGCAAACGCAGTTGAAGCTGAGACGGAGGCGGAACTTGAAGAGGCTGGAGTTTGCATTTTAGAGATGAAGGATCTGGCGGGCATTTTCAACAATCGGTAGCATTGCATTTATATTTTGGGTATGTCACCATGCAAGCCTAATTACCGAGACACTTGATAGGTTGGGAAAGGTGAATTAAACAATGTACGGCAGCCAGGAAATCCGTACCAGGAGATTTTAACCATTCCTCGGGCGAATAGGTCACCTGTTCTTACTCTCCATATAATCAAATGCGCAATCCAGAAGATGTCGATGTCGATGCCGATGCCGAGCCTCATGCGAATCTTCGTTAAGATATCAGGCTTTTCTTCGGGGTCGTTTGAAACGTTCCCACATACAGAAAGCAATGACACCAGACTTCTCGTATCCAACTGGTATCAATTGTTTGTCAGACACATTGCCTACAATTGAACGTGCTTGAGATGACCCATACAAGAATGTGCAAGGCAGTTGTGCATGCGGCTCTCCATTGAAACTGTCAATGAGATTAACAATAACGTGCTCTAGTATTGATGGTGGCGTCGCTTTCACGTAGACGATGGCGAAGAGCTGTTTTCAGATGGGATGCCGGCGCTATTCCTGCTACGTTAGTAGTAGGTCTTATAGAGGGATAATGGTTGCCGTGTTTTAGTTTAAATCCGAAGTTCGAGGAAAAGATTTCCGGCCCAGCACATAAAAATTACCTTCGGTGTGGCTCGGTCTTCGCTTGTCACTATTTACCTGTTACATCACGGTTCTTTACGGAGTTGCTCGGCCGAACTTTGCAGTCACCAGGTGCCAGAGATTCTGAGAGAAAATGCGAGCTGGTCAGTGGTGGCGGCCAGAAGCCGTCACCGAGCGAGTCATTTTCGAGCAGCACTTCTTATTACTACCGGTTTCTGGAATACTGATCATGAAAGGACCCAGATTCTTCGGGATTTAAGCGCTCACTTTCTTGTAGTTGCATACGGTGACTCTATGTGTGAACATGTCCAAGCCAGAGAGCCTGTGATCGTCATGTCTGTTGCTGCACACATCGTGAAGCTTGTACCAGTGTCAGCCCAGGCGGTACTACTGGACCAAAAGCGTGTATTCTCACATCATCAGTGGCAAGCCCAACTCCAGTCTCCTCGGATGGAGGACGATATTGATGACAAACAACAGAATGACAAGCAGTACTCACGTTTACTGTAACGGTAAACACGGTGAATCCCGTCATCCGCTTATTACTGGAGCTAAGCAAGCTTGAGAATGAGGGACGGGAGGCCTTGGAGAGACCTACATCATTCAATATCGATAACAGAAAATAGCCTGTGCAAATGAGGCAGAGACATAAGTGAGCAAGACCATGATCGGTGCGGTCCATGTAGATACTTCAAGTTTGTATGAATCTGGATATCCGATATTGATCGAGTGGTGAGTTTGTGAACATGAATTTATGAGAAAGGCAAAAAAGGGTTTTTAACCAGATACTAGAAACCACATTAGCACGAAATATATCAAGGGCACAAGACAACACATTCCATAGGTGTTGGCCATAACCACAATCGAACAAGCCCCGTCGATGATCAAAGTTCCCAAGATCCAATAGCGCAACCACCTTGTCATCGCGAGGCGAGTCTTAGTGATGCAGGCAATAAATACTCAAAGCGACCTGGGATGTTGATATGCTTACCAGGCTCCACCGCCGTAAAAAGAATATAAAATTCCATTTTATTAATATACAAACTATGTGTGTGACTGTACCTGTAAGAAAAGCATGTAAAGATAACCTGGAAGCCAGAAAGCCCCGCTAGATCAGTAAGGGTTAGCCGTGATGGGTCTGAACTCTAGGCGACAGGACTAACAACTCAATGGTCGGCTTTGAAGGAAACCAAAAGTCCAGAACTAGTGATGCACATGTTTCTAGTTAGAACCGGCATCCCGGCAGTGATGGCCATCCGATGGCATCGGTCCGAAAACCGGGACAAGTAAATTTAAGTATGATCGGAATTACCTGGTAGCAGGGATATGAGCTCATATCCGCCAGGAAGTGCGATAAAGGTAGAATAGTATAAATACCAGCTTATAGCCACAGGACAGCAAGTTGCTGGCCCTCAGAATGCTACCAAGTGAATGGTATGGGTTTTATTGGCCAAGAGCTTCGAGTCGCAGACTCACCTGGAATAGAATTGAGTGACCTAGTCACTTTGTGTGTGCAAGAATAGTTAGCAAGCAATCAGTTCAGAAAGTTACAGACAGAAAGCTGAGACACAGACCAGAATCCATGTAGTACCAGTAAAACTGCAACCAGGCAGTTAGTATGCATTCAGAAACTGCATCAGGCAGCCCATCAGTGACAGATTGTGTTCAGTAACACAGAAAGTAGCAACTTGTGTCATTTCAAGTATATTTAATAATACATATATTCAATTGCTACCAGGAACCTAGTATCTACAGTACAAACATTCAACCAGATATAACTTACCCCCTTCAAACTGCAATTGTTGAGTGTGTTAGTGTGTGTAGTGTTATAGCATTTCACACTTCTAGTACTGTCACCACCTTTCAATGTGCATAACATTGTGTTCAACCATAAAGTCACCAGGAGGACTCTTCACTTTTCTTTTGAGTGATCCCAATTTGAACATGAAGACCTGAGAGACATACCTTGAAGACACATCAAAATAAAACAACTTCAAGGTCATAGCATTGGGGTAAGGGAACACTTATTTAATACTTCTCAAGTTCTAGATGGAAAAAGTGAATTTATATTTCAGAGATACACCTCCAGTCAAGCTTTCAGTATCGAATCCTATTACATTCATATTTTATTTACAGAGCACAAAATAGTCCTGTGATGAGTTTCAACAAATTATAGCTTATCAGAGAGAAAAGCATGTAAAAAACGCGAAGATAAAGTTAGGTTGAAAATTCTGCCAAAATCTGTAGTTGCCACATGTCAGTCATGTAATATTGCACATGATATGGTAAGTAACGGTAAAATACCGTGGCTTACTCCCTGGAGGTTTCGTGCGCAATCCTAGTTCGTACTTTGATACTTAGATGTTGTTGGATTAGCAAGCAGGAGCTCCCTCGTATCCTGCCGGCCAAGCTATATACCCCTTTATGTCGGGATGGACCTTATATACAAGTCATGGACTATTAGAGCACCCTCACCGTGTTGTCCTTATCGCTACACCGTGTGAGGGTAAGTAACTACTACTATGCCACTTTGTTTACGGTACTGATTCGTACATACAATCTACTACTTATACCTAACAGTGTATACTATTAGGTCCTACAAACGAATGCGCGTCACTTTCTTAGAGGTGTTGGAATGAGATAAGTGCAAAAATATATGCTTACAGATAACTGGGCGAACACTCTGGCTGGGAATCGAACCCAGCTTGCGCGCGATAACACCATATTCAATCACGTAACGGGCACTTGTACTAACCAATATACTACCAAAGAGTACCTTTTTGCGGCTATTATAATAAATCATACTCTCTAATATGACATCGGTGTCCTGTCGGACACTCCTGAATCATAGTTCCAGCAGCGGCAGTATCGACGTTCGAACACTAATAGTAGGGCTGAGCAAGTAGTATAGGGGGTTTCGAAGGACAAAGATGCCAGGCCAGCAGTTTGTCGTTGTCTTCCACGTGCTTTTTCTCATATCTTCCATCACGAAGCCGAAGGGACGCGAATTTGTATATGACCTAGGTGTGTGCATAATCTACACATGTGTAACAGTAACTGGTGAACGTGGTAGAATCATGAAGGTGATTGGCGCTGGCCATAGGAGAGAATCGATATGAGGCTGTAGAGATATGGACTAGGGATGGACGACGAGCTCGTAGGTATGTGCAATCTATATTCTAAAGCCAAACTCAGCTGAATATCTAGCTGGAAGTCTCGCATGTACGAGAAGCAGGTACAGCTCGAATGGTCACGACGGCGCAGGTGGAAGGTTCGCCAATTCGAATGTTTGCAAGAAGATTAGAGCTCATCCATACTGCCAGAATACAACAAACTCGTACCAGGGTATATTATACCAAAGACGGTTTTCTTTCCTCAGTCAATTCCTTTCCGCGGCGCGCCTCGTTCCCATCTAAGCGCGTTTCCAACAAGGAATCACAGTTCTCCCCAGGTCATCCTAAAAACCTCGCTCTCCTTTGATGCATTTTCGTCACTAGTAGCGTGGTGATAAGCAGTAAGGATGCGGCTGCTACAATGATGATCAGTACTGCTGAGGTAGTAGGTGGGGGAGGCATCACTTGGAGAGATTGCCATGGATTGGCTAAGGACCGTCTTATCCTGCCGGGACATGTATACTCTGAGCGCTTATCCGTCGACGTGGGATGACCCCAGGTCCTACAATAGAGGGTTTGTCGCCGAGTTATGACCACGGAACCGTCAAGTATCTACTTACTGGTCACGCAGGAATGCCCAGGCGGCTCACCATCAACGACCCTTCTCCCTCTCGTCCGATACCTTGTATCCTGCCTCTCTTATTGGCTCACCCTTTCTTTCGTATCTCCCTCCCCCTCAGAATATGATGCATGGCTGGATCAGTCTGTGGCATGAGGGGCGAAAGCTACATCTGGGTCGTTGTTTGAGTCTACTGAGCTTCCGGCTAGTTTCTGAAAGAGCGCTAGCAGTTCCGCAGTGAGTTTTCTTAGTATTCCATCTTTTATTAGGAACCTAATGAGCTTCGGTAGACCTTCCGGTTCCTCACAGTATGTTCATCAGAATCTAGGGTTAGATCGTGGGCTGGTTATAAGGGCATGCGCGCCCATCCTACTTATGGCAGTGGCTCTATCGCCGTGTTGTCCTGAAATGTTCTAACCAGTCAATGCACTTAGGATGTCACGCTGCCCTTATTTCAAGACGGATCAAAGAGGCAAGGAACCGGAGGCTAAGCCCACCAGTCCACGGAAAAATTTCAGACCTCTCTATCCCAACCAATTGCGATGGCTGTACATTATTCTTATCGGGTTCGAGCGATCTTACGTCTTTTCTGAGACATGACATCCCTAGCACAGCTGTGATGTGCTATTGATTGGCGCGGTCAAGATGGCGCCCTTCTCAGCAGGCACCGCTCGAGGAAAAAAAAAGATTCTTCCGAAAAAACCGTATCATAACCATCATTAGCACGGAGCTCTCCATCTTATCCCTCGAGTTCTCATCTGATGGGAAGCGAACGTATGGCACCTTATGAACTGATGATGTTGCTCGCCATCTTTTCCTTCGACGACTGTGATGCAGGCAGAATGATCTTCACACATAGTATATGAAGAGGAGAAAGAAGGCCGAAACCAATCATCATGCTAGATTCTTTCATAACTTCCGTGGACCTTCTGGCGCACGCTCCCATTCTTGGAACAAGGCGCCTTTAAGGGCAGGATGTTTCCCCTCGGAGAAGATCTACTTTCGATGCTGCAATGTGATTTGTAGTCGATTTGTGGTCGATCCTCAGCATCGATTTGTGTCCTTTACTTACGTCGGGAAGCCCCCAGACGGCACGTCTCCCTTATCTCAAGAGATTGTTCAAGAACTCAAAGGTGTGTCTCTCAGTAAGGTTTGTCGAATCTTATTGTAACGGCACCTATTCGCGTAGTAACCTTTTGGGTGGGAAGTTCGACATGCATCAACAGCCTGTGAGGATCATGGAGGCCGGCCCGTTGTATGCAGATGGCGTTGTCGTGTACCTAACGTACACCTACCGTCCCTTCCAGTCCGTTATCCTCCCTTAGTGTGGTTCCATCCTTAACACTTATCCGACTGACACATGGGATCTGCAAACGTGTCCCCCCCAAAGACGCAACACACAATGATTCTCATTTACGGTCCTGCTCCCCAATTAATATGCAGCGACTAGATCTGCGCATTTAGTCCAGTTCTGTGTAGTAGATGGTCGAAGTCTTTCTGAGAAGCGCAGGAGGATGAACGTCTGTACTGGCTTCGACATCTGAAGCGGATATTCTTAGTCGATGGCAATGCCTCACGCTGCATCGTCATCTATATCCCGCGGCCATGTTAAAGGGACTCGTCATGGATGAGTTCCTGCGATAATGCGTGTGCTGAGTTCGAAGAAAGATGCCTTCTCCCAAAGGAACCCCCGGCAAAAGGGCAATATTTATCAGCGTTTCGAGCTGAGTATTGCCTTTCGTAATCTCGTCGCTTTTTGGCGCCGCATTTGACGCAAACGAAGTGGCAGAGAAACTGGATCAATAGCCTCTCCCCCGTCCTCCCCACCCCCGGAACCTGCAACCATTGGGCGACCTCTCTGTCTGTCCTCCAACGCTATATGCGCACAGCTTGAGCCTTCCCCTGTTTTCAGCAATCAGCTTTCCCTCCCCGTACACGCGGCACGCCTGCCTTCTCTTCATTCTCCCTGTATCATGGTATATCCGCCTCGTCCTCGTCACACGGGATGTCAGCCAGCATGGAATACCCTTGTAACGAATATTAACGTATGTGATGCCTGTTCAGCACTTACGAAGTCTGACCCAGCATGGTGGAATATTCTAAGACGACGAATATGTTCTTAGCGTGCTCTCATCTGAATTTTTCTACGAGGACGTGAACGGTTACAGAGGGACCTCCAGGCTGTTGCCGGTGTTAGCTCCCAGTGACGCTAATTGATTGGCGGGTCTCGTACCATCATGTTATATGCAGGGGGCGCGATGCAGATGGGTTCACCTTTCCCTTAGCGTTATACCATTCGTCGTCCAAACATGGCTTCGCAAGATATTACTTGGCCAAATACTCTGATCTAGGAATCACCCCTCCGCTACCTGCCCATTCATTCCAAAACCATAGTCTGACTTTCTTCGCACTTTCGAGGTGTGTTTTCTTGTTATGCCATCTTTTAGCAGGGACCTAATGAGCTTCCGTAGACATCTGCATATGCTCATCTGAATCGAGGCCCCGACCGTGGTTCGTCGGACATGAGGGAGGGAGCTCTTGCGCTTGAGACTCGGGATGGACAGGTGTTAATATGCTTGCTTCTCTTACTTTTCGCAGTGCGCGTGTTGTCCGTCTCCTCAATTCGGAGAGCCACGCCGGCGACCAATACACTCAGCCGACCCGGATTTTCCGCACTTCTTTTCTTAAAAAGAACATCCATCCATCTTCATTCTCATCGGATGCTCCAGGCTGTTCTCTCGGTCTCACATTGATTTTTGGGACCGGCGGTTCCTACGGATACCCGACGTAACTGCTACAGTCAACTGGGATGACATCGAATACCTCGCACCAGTCGAGATGGGACCGCTTGAGCCTTGAGAGGAAACACTGTCCTTCAAAAGAATGTTCAGCCTGAGACCGGGTCCTCCTCGACTTGCTCGCGAGTGAAGGAGTAAACTAATCTTCAATATACATTCGATGCCGCGGTCCTCCAAGTTTTGCCATGCAATAGTTCTTCCAGTCGCCCGTTCCCATTCGTGGAACAAGGTGCCTTCAACCCCCGGCTACCATTTATTGTTACCAGGCCGTGTTTTCGTTTACGTTGGGAGGCATTCAATGTGTGTACTGGTTAAGGTTGTCGGGTCGACTATGCAATCGATAGCTCGTGTTCATCGATGCCAGGCGCGTGGCGAATACACCGCCACAATTCTGGTTCATTTGTGGTAACTGTGACAATGTAGAAGGGCCTGGACTTGAGACGGTGACGTTGGTTTTATGATATCAGGACTTAGTTCCAAAGCTTGGGTTCTGGGAGAGTGCGGCAAATGGTACTGGCCTTGTGCGAGTATTGATTTCACACAATCCAGCCTTCACCTAAAAACCAAAAGGAATGAACTCAATTTGGAGACTGATCATTCGACTGGGAGAAAAATACGGGCAAACACAGAAAACTCTGTGGCTGGGAGCCGAACCCAGCTTCCGCACATAGATATCCTTAACCGATATACTACCAGAAACCATTGTTTGTCTCCAAGCGTTGAAGGTTAAATTATACTCTCGAAGCTTTAGCTGCGGCATCCAAATTCCGCTCCGCTCTTTCTCTCTATGCATGTAACAATAGCTCACGAATGCGGTAGAAACATCAAATCATTGATGGCAAGAGAAATTCGGTATAGGCTGTAGGGCCATGGACTGAGGTTGGCCTTGATGTCTACCAGAAACAGACGCATAGAGCTCGGATGGACGAAGGTGCGTAAATTCAGATGACTGCAGTAAAAATCAGTGCTTATTCATACCGACAGGCCACAACATTCCTTTCTACGACACGCCTCGTCCTCTTCCGACCGTCAACAGTCATCCTAAACGCTCTGGCTCTCCCTTGATCACTAGCAGCGCGGCGATAAACAGCCATGACACGGCTGCTGGAATGGTGATCAGTGCTGGGGTAACAGGCGGGGGAGGCATATTTTGCATGAGTGACTGAATCTGTGTTCGAGCGATACGGTGGTCAGGCGTGAATGGATAGACGGCTACTACCTTCTCATTGCCGTCTGATGCCC